TCAAAACAGGCGCCGAAGGATGCTCCCAAGAATTCTGCAGCAGGTCTGTGTAAGAGGGTGTCAGTCCTGAGCGATGGGGTGAAATACCATCGGACACGAGGGTCTGGGGCATCACCGGTAATGGGTAAGAGCGCAGGGGACAGTCGCTCATCCACAGTGAAGAAAAATGCCTTGATAAAGGTGTATTAAGGGGTGGTAGAGGCAGTACCGATTGCAAACCCCTGCTTCTACCTCTGCTCTCAGTGAGAAACCCTGCTTGTATTCACATCCAGCATTTTACGCAAAAATGTGGTGGTGGGAGTGGAAATCTTTGCTATTTCATCCAAAAGCAAATGGTTTTGGTTAAAAAATACCCCACCTTATTTAAATTCAGGTCTTCAGCCCCAGAGGCTTGCGGGAGATGCTCGCAGAGGTTGCTGCTGATGTCTGCAGGCTGGGGTTCCCCGCAGCGGGATGCATGATGGAGGGGACCAGCCTCCTTTGGGCTGATGCATCCCCGGAGGAACAAAGCATCCTACTGGGTGCTTTGCAGGCTGAGAAGCAGTTCATGAATGAGTTGTCGATGTAACATCACCCCCTCCCCAACAAGCCCCAGCTCCTGCCAACGGCTCCTCTGTCACGGTCAAAGGGGGTTGGAGCAAAGGGGTTTCGTGGGGGCAAGTTGGGTTTCTCCATGCCTTGGTCTGCAGAGGGAAGCTGCCTAACGTGGTCCTTGTCTCTCTGGTTGCCTTGCAGGACCTCTCACTCCAGGGCCAAGGCGGAGGCGGCTGTGACGGCGGCACAGAAAGCTCAGGAGGAAGCGCGGATCGCCAGGATCACTGCCAAAGAGTTTTCGCCTTCCTTCCAGCACAGGGAAAACGGTCAGTGCGTGCTGCCGGGTCGGCCGGCCCCGCGGATGCAGCTTTCGCCCCGTGCCGCTCTCTGCCCTGCTCGGCCCTGCGGAGACCCAAAACCCCCCAAAATGAGCCCTGCGCGGGGGCTCAGTCCGCGCCTGCAGCTCCCGGTCCTCACCAGGACTCTTGGGGTGGGAAATCGCCCCGTCACACCCGTTTTCGGGGATTTTAGCACAAGGCTTTCAATATTCAACACTTCCACCCTGTGCCGTCCTATCGTTACAGGGATGTCCTCTTTTCACACCAAAACACCCCCATTTTTTGAATTCGTAGTCCTTGACGGTTGCACAGCAAAAAACCCAACAAGAGCGCTGAAAGCAAAATGCAAACACAAGTGATCCCAGAGGCGGTCACTGGTTTTACCCTCGTGGCTTTTATGGTTCACGATTTCTTTCGAACGCTCGGGCTTGCCGAGCTGGGGTGGCACGCACGCTCGGGCTTGCAGAGCTGGGGTGGCACGCATCGGTACCTAAGCCTTCACTCGGGCGTGCAAAGGTATCGGGGAAATGTGCGTTTGAGTTTTGTCCGGTGGCTTTTCCTTCTCTCCATCACCTTTGATGTTTCTTGCCGCTTTGTTCCAATTTTTTTGCTCATTGACGAGAGGCTCAGGCTCAGCAAAGGCTCAGGGCGGAGGGAGCCGAAGCCGAGCGGCAGTCGGGGACGGGGCCGCGCTTTTTTTGCCCCGCGAAGGCTGCGCCCATCCGCGAGCGAGGGGGGCTGCTGCGAGTGGGAGTGGAAAGCTCCGAATCCCCACAGCAATAATTAACATCGTAATTAATACACGTGAATGGTTTTATTCAAAAGTTTTCCTGCACCGAACCCTCATTAGGAGGTGCCTATCATTATTTTCTTCCCCTTCCAGCTCTCTAACTGAAGATTACTCATTCGGTTTAATTGCTCCAGGGGCCGGTGACTCATGTTGGCGGTGCGGTTCCCCGAGACCGGGGAAAAGGGATCTGTGCATCTTTTGGACCAGCCAGCCCATGCACGAGTCCTCCC